TTATAAAGGAGCTCTACAGGTGTCTCCAAAGGTAAATGTTGGGTTGGCGTATTTCGAGATTAGGATTTGTCACTCCGATTGTCGGAGAGGTATCTCTGGGCCCTCTCGGTAATACACATCACATAAGCCTTGCAAGCATTGCAACTAATGAGTTAGTTGCGAGATGATGTATTACGAAATGAGTAAAGAGACTTGCCGGTAACGAGATTGAACTAGGTATTGAGATACCGACGATCGAATCTCGGGCAAGTAACATACCGATGACAAAGGGAACAACGTATGTTGTTATGCGGTCTAACCGATAAAGATCTTCGTAGAATATGTGGGAGCCAATATGAGCATCCAGGTTCCGCTATTGGTTATTGACCGGAGACGTGTCTCGGTCATGTCTACATTGTTCTCGAACCCGTAGGGTCCGCACGCTTAAGGTTTCGATGACAGTTATATTATGAGTTTATGAGTTTTGATGTACCGAAGTTAGTTCGGAGTCCCGGATGTGATCACGGACATAACGAGGAGTCTCGAAATATTCGAGACATAAAGATTGATATATTGGATGGCTATATTCGGACACCGGAAGTGTTCTGGGTGATTTCGGAGGAAACCAGAGTACCGGAGGGTTACCGGAACCCCCCGGGAGAAGTAATGGGCCATATGGGCCTTAGTGGAGAGAGAGAAGGGTAGCAAGGGTGGGCTGCGCGCCTCCTCCCCCCTTGGTCCGAATTGGACTAGGAGAGAGGGGCGGCGCCCCCTCTTTCCTTCTCCCTCCCCACTTCCTTCCCCCTCCTAGTAGGAGTCCTACTCCTACTAGGAGGAGGACTCCTCCTTGGCGCGCCTATAGGGCCGGCCAGCCTCCTCCCCTTGCTCCTTTATATACGGGGGCAGGGGGCACCCCTATACACACAAGTTGATCCACGTGATCGTTTTCTTAGCCGTGTGCGGTGCCCCCTTCCACCATAATCCTCAATAATATTGTAGCGGTACTTAGGCGAAGCCCTGCGACGGTAGAACATCAAGATCGTCACCACGCCATCGTGCTGACGGAACTCTTCCACGACACTTTGCTGGATCGGAGTCCGGGGATCGTCATCGAGCTAAACGTATGCTAAAACTCGGAGGTGCCGTAGTTTCGGTGCTTGATCGGTCAGGACGTGAAGACGTACGACTACATCAACCGCGTTATCATAACGCTTCCGCTGTCGGTCTACTAGGGTACGTAGATCACACTCTCCCCTCTCGTTGCTATGCATCACCACGATCTTGCGTGTGCGTAGGAAATTTTTTGAAATTACTACGTTCCCCAACATACCCAACTTTGACAAACCTTTCGAAATTCATTGCGATGCTACTGGTAATGGCATAGGTTTCGTGTTAACGCAAGAGAAGCGCCCCATTGCATACTTTAGTGAGAAACTATCCGGAGCGCAACTCAATTACCCCATCTATGACAAAGAGCTATATGCTTTAGTGCGAGTTTTGCATGAATGGGAACATTACCTTCGCCCACATGAGTTCATCATCCATACCGACCATGAAACACTTAAATACCTTAAGGGTCAAACTAAGTTGAACAAGCGTCATGCTAAATGGAGTAAATTTATTGAGTCATTTCCCTATGTCATCAAGTACATTAAGGGTAAAGAAAATGTTGTGGCGGATGCGCTTTCCCATATATGCATGCTTGTCACTAACCTTGAGTTGAATGTCATTGGTTTTGAGCATATCAAAGACTTGTATGAACATGATCGTACATTCGCCATACCTTATGCCAAGTGTTTGATGCATACTTCTTGGGATCGATACTACATCAAAGATGGATATCTTATGAGAGCTAACAAACTTTGCATCCTCGAGTCCTCTTTTCATTTGATGCTTTTGCAGGAATCTCATGGAGGCGGACTCATGGGACACTTTGGACACGACAAGACATTTGCTATGCTCTCCAAGAACTACTTTTGGCCCAAGATGCATCGCGACGTCAATCGCTTCACCAACCGTTGTTCTACATGTCGCAAAGCTAAGTCTAAAGCCCAATATCATGGCCTCTATATGCCACTTCCAATTCCATATCAACCATGGGAAGATATTAGCATGGACTTTGTGCTTGGTTTGCCTAGAACTCGAAATGGCAAGGATTCCGTTTTTGTTGTTGTGGACCGTTTCTCCAAAATGGCTCATTTCATTCCTTGCAACAAGATAGACGATGCTTCACATATTGCAAATTTGTTTTGTAGGGAAATCTTGCGCCTTCATGGAGTGCCAAAGACGATTGTCTCGGACTGCGACGTCAAGTTCTTGAGTTACTTTTGGAAGACATTATGCGCCAAGCTTGGAATCAAGCTCTTGTTCTCTTCAGCATACCATCCACAAACCGACGGCCAAACGGAGGTCACCAACCGTACGCTCTCCACCCTACTACGAGTATTGATAAAGAAGAACATCAAGGAGTGGGAAGAGTGCCTACCCATCGTCGAGTACGCCTACAACCAAGCAAGACATTCGACTACCGGCAAGTCCCCCTTCGAGGTCGTCTATAGATTCAACCCATTGTCCCCATTGGACATTCTACCTCTACCGCTACAAGAGCGCACAAACATGGACGCGAGTGCACGAGCCAACTTCCTCAAGAAGATGCATGAAGATACAAGGAACACCATCGAGCGCCAAGTACAACGACTCGCGACCAAGCTTAACGCCAACAAGCAACCCATGATGTTCCATGTTGGAGATCTTGTGTGGCTACACCTTCGCAAGGATCGCTTCCCCAATGAACGCAAGTCCAAGCTACGACCACGAGCGGATGGACCCTTCAAGGTGCTTGCACGCTACAACAACAATGCATACAAGATCGACATCCCACGCGACAAGTACTCCGTGAGCGACATCTTCAACATCAAAGATCTCTCCCCGTACCATGGTGATGAGGATTTCGATCCGAGGTCGGATCTTTCCCAAGGGAGGGGAGATGATGCGGAGCATCCCATGATCATCCCCATGGACCTACCATCGTCGCATCAAGAGCGAAGAGGACCCATGACACGAGCACGAGCCAGAGCTCTCGAGAACGAGGTGACTTCTTTCCTTAGTGATATCACATATGATCCACTCGAGACATGGTTACTACCTAAGTCCGATATGCTATGCATGATCAGGTGTCAAGAGGAGCCTCCCGAAGATGCACGTGAAGACGGACAAGCCGCCAAGTCCACGAATGAAGAGAACCAACGGAAACGGGCAAGTTCACCTTCCAGGCCCCGGACATCCGGCCAAGGCCCCGGACATCCGGCCCCTGGAGATGCCACCACAGCAGCCGCAGCCCAGCCAGAAAAGACTACAGGGCCCGGACATCCGGCCTCGCGCCCCGGACATCCGCCCTTCCCCGGAGCCCCGGAAATCCGGCCCTCTGCCCGGAAATCCGGCCTCGTCTATCCAGAGCCCGCAGAAGTCTTCACCGCCAGCCCGGACATCCGGCTCCCTAGCCCGGACATCCGGCCACTCCTGAAGCCCCGGACATTCGGCCCGACGCCCGGACATCCGGCCTCGCCTGTCAGTGAACAGTGAAGGGCGGAAGCCCATGTACCCTCTCGCCCCCCCAGACTATATATACTTCATCCCCTTCCTCTTTCTAGGGGTAGCGTTGGTTTAGCTCATATGTGAGATAGAGCTTCGCTCATCCATACAGATCTCCTCCTCGAGAGAGACTGCGGCCCCTCTTCGGAGAAGATCGACTTGGATTCAAGACCCCCCTCTTGGGCGGCCCCATCAAGACCTCCTTCTAGGAGAAGAACCGGTTACTTTGTATCGTCCTTTGTTGACCTTGGATCATCGTGTACCTCTTTGTGTTATTTGGATCTAGCGCATGTGTAATCGAATCTTGTTGGTTTGAGTGATTCTCTCGTGTTTCCCCTCGTGTATCCCCTCGTGGTCCTCGTGTTTCTCTTTGGGATCCGCTCCTTTCGTGAAAGATCGGCCATCTAGGGTTCCACCCTACATCATAGTTGGTTTTCATTCTTTCCAAAGAATAATAGATTCAGAAGACGTGTTTATTTAATAATATTGTCAAGGGTGAGTTTCATTACACATAAGCAAAAAAATAAGGATCTCTGGTCTCTTTTAGGATTATAATTTTTTTTGTTTGACTTTTTGTATTTGTTTTGTGTTGCTTTTTTTTGTAGAAACAGTTGCTGTTGATGATGTTAGCGCTATGGGAGAGAATCTTTCTGGAAGTTCTGCCTCTGGTGTTGATCAATTTGGTGTCCAAATCTCATTTCAAGTTCAGTCATCTGAAGTTAAAAAAAGGTTTAGTCATCTGATGAGAGTTTATGACAAGCTTTAGAGAATCATGCATGAACAACTCAATTGTACGTAGTTTATTTATAGGTGCATAAGTTCACCCTTTGTCGGTCGGTACGTAGTACTACCGTCATGTGGTGTGCTCATATGTGACCATTATAGTTAGGGAAATAGGAAGAGTGTTCATTGCCGCCGCTGCCGATGGTATGTAGCTGCATCCATTTAGTCCCATGGTGGTGAGTTGCTGGTGGTTTTCATTCATGATATCGTTTGCAGCTACACTAAACAATCAGACAACGATACAAATGTTACTACTGAACATTACAATGTCATGTAGACCACAAAAGGGATACATTGCCGGTAAAACGGCATTGGAGGAAGGTAGTCATAACGACATGTACAAGGGTTAATTTATCAATGCAGATTAGCAGCCCCAAACCATGTCTACCTACGTGAAGGGTAAAACGGCATTGGAGGAAGGTACACACCACGCTCCATGGGTAAATCACCGAAAGAAATGGAGTGCCATTTACAAACAACAACCACAGCCATAGAGTCAAATCCACATCCATCATCAGACGAGAAAGAGAAGAGCAGAGATTGCGAGTACAGTATCACAGTGCCGCCCCTTTCTCCCGGATTAACAGAGCCAAGAGTTCATGCCATCCGCCACATGATTCACACGATAACATCAACAGAGATGGCACTTATTCACAGGCCAGCTTCGTGCCAAAGCTGGTGAGGCAGATGGCGAACGCCTGGTAGGCCGACAGGGGATGCCGGAAGTCCATCGTGAAGGCGTCGTCCTCGATCTTACCGAACTGGAGGATCACCGTCTCCTCGTCCCCGACGCCCCATGGGTCGCTGGTGCCGGCCGGGGCGACAAGCTGGAAGTTCTTCACGGAGGCGACCGTCACCCTGCCGTGAAAATTCAAGCACCAGCACTGCAGGTGGTCGTGCCACCGAGGCGCTTTGTTTTTTAGAGACAAGGAGCTGGAGGTGCTCGGTGGCTTCTCCTTGGATGGATCGGATGCGGTGCCCTGACCTACGGGGCACTGGATACTGCAGTGCATTCTTCTCGGCCCTCTTGATTTGAGGAAGTTGAACCTGTATGACACCTGTCCAACTTCAAGATTATCGCCTGAAACGTGTGGGCTGATTTGTTTGCTCGCAAAGCGGCGACTTGATCGGCTCTTCAAGGACTTGGCGCCGTCGTATGGTTTCTGATTGTCGTACATGACGAATTTTGTCCCCAGGAAGTCCGATCTAGAAGTGTGAAGATAAAACAATGTTCAGGCCAACAAGCAAATATCCAGGAAATAGACTTGAATAAAGTTGCAAACTATTGGGTTTAGCCAGCGCCAAAATACTTGGGTACTTATCGGCGGTCACTTATCAAATGCACTTGAAACATGACTGAGGTCCGCCAATAATAGTCACGCCAGGAGTAGCTTTGGTTGGCTTCAAAATTTAACATTCTTTTGTTGATGACAATCTAAACTCAAGTAGCCAACATCTAAATGTCCTTGAAAAGCATTACCGATCAAAAATTTACCGGGTAAAAAAAATCTGTGGAAGCAGTACATCCTACTAGATGGAGAATGCATGAAGATGTGAATGGTGTATGCAACTGTGGCAAGCAGTTGGTAAGGGTAGCTGGTGCAAAAGAAAATGAAAAAAAGCATGGCCCTAGCAGCATGGCAGCGGGGCGAAAGGAATAACTAGGTGGAAGAGGTGCTAAAGGGAGTTCAGGATGGGCATTACTTCGCTTATCCATACCCCTATATTCAACTTGGCCAAGACAGAACTTTATTTTGGCAGAATGTCAAAAAGATCATGTGGTCCTTTTGATTCAAATGTTCTGATGCAAAGTATCGCTGTGAAGAAGCTAACATAGCAAAGGTCGCCAAAATCCATTGGCATGAGCCATCATCAGGTGTAAATTTGCATATTTTGGCAACTATCAGCTGAATCCAACATGATATGCAGAAAATCATAAAGCAGATCTCCTAGCACTTCCTTCATTACATGATGTAACCAAAGGACATGACTATGCATATGCGGTTATGCACAGAATAGTACATACTGATAAATTAACTAGCAGAAACTGACAGATGGGATATTCATTAATTCACTTTGCATACTATTGAATTGAAACAGTAATAAGATTGTTTGGAAGAACATGTCAGCAATGAAAACGAGGTTAAAATGAATGAACATGATGCCTGATTCCAATGCTTGATGATCACATCATAGTTCTGGTGACCTCACTTGAAACTTAATCGAAAAAGATCTACTTTCTAAACCAGTGGCCATGAATAATCCACCAATCAGCTAGCAAAACTGAAGTTACAGAATATTTAGACCTCACCTCAGCTTTCCAACACCTGAATTACTTCCTGGATATAGATCATCAGAGTCATAAGAGATGATATATTCGGTGTGTGCCCCGTGTCTGAATCTTCGAGCAGCCAGTAGAAACTTCCCTTTATCCGTTAGGGCTGTCAAAACAGAATAAGTACTATTAACTTAAGAACATATGAAGCTGCATTCTGATATGTGATATACTCCCTCCATAAAGAAATATAAGAGCGTTTAAAACATTACTTTAGTGATCTAAACGCTCTTATAATCTTTACGGAGGGAGTACTACCTAAGCATACTGGAAAGATAAGTCTGCATGGAGGAAACAACTTTAGATTACATTGCGGTTTTCATTACTGCAGTCTATAAAGTGTGTCATGAGGTTGACAATCAAGCAAATCAAAATACAGATGAGGAAAATTAGATTGTTTGCTGGGTTCATCCACATTTTTAACTTCATCAAACATAGGAATACCTAAGCCTCGAATCCCAGAGGCATCCATCAAATATGCACCATGTAATTTAACAGTGCCATAAGCTGCAACCAAAGGTTACTAATCATCTTCTGTGCCTAATATTTATGAGAGCTACCATGGAAAAAGGTCCAATGAACCGGTGCGGTGGTTAATCATCGTCTCAATTTTGATTAATCTCCTCAGTTGTAATGTCTATACCCAGTTGTCCATGCCGTCATGTGAAAATACTACCCAAACGAAAGAATGACACGGACTAAGCATGGCTTCTTCTCAGTCCCTACTCTGCCTTAGCAAATCATAAACTGGATTCTAATGTAATTGAAGATGTACCACGGATACGCAGATGACCCCATCTAACTTCGAACAAGTCAAGATCCCATCCCCCTCAACCACCACACACAAACAAGAAAAGGTACGACATATTAGGCGGTTTTGTCAAACATTTAGACTTTGAAATTGCATGCTGACCATCAAGAATTCGAGATCATATCAAGTAGGTAAGATGTCATCGCTACAAGGAATGTATTCAATTAAAAATAACTTGCCAACCACCCAACTAACGAATCGTCATGTTCCCTTGCTAGGATTCTATTTAGACTTCAGCAAGTCTTCTTTAAATAATGGAAGTGGGACACTGGAGTAGGTATAAGGGTCCTCGTCGTGAATGCGTATGTTGTGACTGAGTAAAAGAAGTACCACCCTGTTTTCTAAACAAGACTACTTTGGTAAAAAGATCGAAAAGACAAAAGTCATACGCAGCAGGAGAGTAGGCAACGGTGTTACCTACATTATTTTCCATACTCTAAACAAGTATTGATAAGATTATAAGATTGCATCATCATGTATGAAGCTTGAAAAAGACATATACTTGTCCTTTTAGTTGCTTATTACTAGGCAGTTTGGCGCTACTTATTAAAAATACATGATGTGGAAACCCTATTGAAGCCCATGAAGCGGCGTCAATTTCATAATGCAATTGAGTTATAAACACAAAGGAGCCAAAAATTATTGATGGTGACTTACCCTGTGTTAAGCTGAGATAAAGATAAAAGGTGGAGGTGCTTTTGTTCCTCCTGATGAAGCAGTGCATCGGCGCATCCCTCGGTCCAGGCTGTGCGGAGAATATAGAGGTCAATTAAATCATTATGTATAGAACCCCTAAATAGAAGTGAAGCTTTTATGTATCATTATACGCCCACCCACC